TCTCAAGCTCACTCTTGATCCACAAATATACTTTACATCCTCAACTTGTTTCCAAACGACCTGAAACTAGTCAAATGTTATATAAATTAATCAATACATGCTCAAGAGTTCATAATTTAACTATTAGAGTAATTACCCAACCCAAATTGAATCAACTTATGAATTTCAAGTTCTTCCAACTTACTCCGAACGCGCCGAAACATACTTAAACTACTCGGAATGACACTAAATTTTGCGTGCAAGTCTCAAATCACCATACGGAACTATTCTCAAGCTCGGAATCCCAAACGGACCTCGATAATACCAAAACATACTCCAAACCAAATTTAAAGAATTTTAAAACCTTCAAGGTTCCAACTATCAATATTAAGCGTCGAAACGCTCCCGAGTCATCCAAAACCCGGTCCGAACATACGTCCAAGTCCAAAATCATCATACGAGCCTATTGGAACCGTCAAATCCCAGTTCCGAGGTCGTTTACTAAAATATGTTGACCAAAGTCAAACTTAGCCTTTTAAATGCCAACAAAAGAACCAAGTTTTCTAATTTCAACCCCAACCCCTTCCAAATCTCGGATTAACCATCCCCGCAAGTCACAAAATAGTAAAAGTATATACGGGGAGTCTTATTTAGGGGGACGGGGATCTAGAAAGCAAAACGACCGGTCGGGTCGTTACAAAGACTGTAGAGCCCAGGCAGTTTAACAGTCCAGGCAGTAATCCTTGGTTATGGCAACATAACCGGTGGTCTTTAAGACTCGTATTAGCCATGTGGGCGTTGAGAGAGTCATGAGGAGGACCGTAGTTTAAGGTTTGCTTGACAGGACTATGGCTTGACAGGGATGATGTCTCAGTAAAATTTTATACTGTAGTTCCATTGAAGCGATCCGAAATTCTACTTGGTATCACCAACTAGTTCAATAATTCAATTAATGTTAATTGTAATTCGATTTGAACGGTGTATATAAATGTATGAATAAGTGAATTAAAATGAACACATATAATAAGATCACACTCATTCTTAAGATCCTAGATTTGTATTTGCCCAAGACATGTTGAAAACAACAGACGCAAGGAAAGGAAAAATCTAATAGACTGGCTAGCACGGGGCCAACTAAAAGAAGCAAATTTTGTTAGGATTTAGGAGATGAACTTATACATTTCCCACAAACAGAGACGGCCGCATTAATTGGCAATAGTGGTGGCAAAATGGACTTAAAAAAATAGTTATACATTCATATTATCTATCTATATTATTATAAAAGTATGAATATAATATCGGTTTACAAAAATAACCTTATAATATTAAGCATAATAACTCATAATAAAAGGATATAACCGAAATTCTAGATATTAGCCTTATAATCCTATTAGTTTTAGAACATAATACTACACGTTAGAAATCCTACATGATTACCTTTAGGAATCCTATTAATATAACTATTTTCGGGCTGTCTAATTCATATAAAATTGAACAAGTAAATATCTTTAGTCATGTAATCCTATTATTTTCAGGATATACTTCTTAAAAATTCCTATCACTAATATAATTTGAAAACGTATTATAATATCTTATTGCTAATTTAATTTGAGAATGTATTATATTGTCCAAATTCATTTAGAAAAAGAAGAGCATGTATTATTATAAAAGCATAAATACAATATTAATATACTAAAATAGCCCTAAAATATTGAACGAAATAACTCATAGGAAGAGGACATAACTGTAATAACCTATTTTTTGGACTACGGTACATTTTATGATAATTTTTAATATTTAAGATTTTAAAAATAATAAAATTTTATCTATTAAATTCTTATTAAAAATATATAGGAAGGTTTAATAAAATCAATTTTATAAGAATCCTCCGTATTGGCAATACATTACCACTCCATAATGTTCAATACCAAGAAAAAAATAAAAGTAATATTAAATGGACTGCATAAAGAGTTGAAACTGGGAAAAGAAAATACCCTACAATAATATATTTTTATATTATATTAGAACTATTTTCCTACTCAAATAATATTTTTTTAATTAATTTTTCATGTAATATTAAAAAATACCCAATTATTAAACAACTAAGAAAATATTTAATAATATAAATGTGTGAGAAAGAGAAAAAAAATGGTTGGTAAGAGTCAATACCACTAATGATTCTACAAACATAAAGATCTAAAAGTGAAATGTCATATCAATTTTTTACTCTTTGAAAGTAAAATTTATGGTGGATAAAATTATAATTAAGATTAAATATTCAAAACAAGAGATGAATTAATATTAAGATCTGAATCAACATAGAATAAATAATTTTTATTTTAAAACTAAATAATTAAATCTTTTAATTAATTATTTAGCAAGAGAATCCAATTCAACTATTTTTTAAATTCATCATATGAGCAAAATTCTTATTCAAGTTAAAAAAAATCTTAGGGTACATAAATTTATTCCATAAAAAGAGCGTTAGAACACAAAATAAAAAAGGTTAGTATATTATTAAGAATCAAAATGATATACAAGTGTCTGAGGAAGCACAATCAAAGCTAAATCTTAAACAAGAACAATTTTTCAAGACTATATTATAAAGAGTCGACACTACTATAACGGGATTATTCTTTGTAGATGCCTCCGGAGGAATCGAAACAATATTTCTATATCATGCATTACTTACAAATATCATATCAAGAGGCATGATACTGTTAGCAATAATAGAAATTGGTATACCAACAGTGATTTTATTGTGAGGCACCCACTTTAGATTTGATATACCTCTCCAAACAACTTAAATAACCATCACATATATATCAAAGAAGAGCAATGGTGCTAAATTTATAAGGAATGCAAAATTGATAATATGGGATGAAGCACTTATGGCTAAGTGTCAAACGATCGAAATAATTGCCCGGAGTTCTAGAGATATATTGGATATTAATGAACCGTTTGGTGGAAAATTAATGGTTTGGGATGTAATTTATGTCAAGCACTACCAGTAGTTTCAAAATCGACAAAAGCAGAGACTGTAAAAGCTAGCTTGCGAAGTTATACTTCTAGCCTCAAATGAAAAAGATTCAACTGACAAGAAATATAAAGTAAGAACAGATTCAGTATTCAGTGTCTTCTTACTTCGTGTCAGAAACGAAGAAGAGCATCCATAAAAAGATGATTTGGTTCTTCCTGAACACTTGGTAATCAATCACAATGGCAATAGCAGAGCATCTAATAAGAGAAATATTTCTATCATTAGATTAAAACGCAATTTGTGCAATTGTATGATAGATTTAAAAAATATCTTAGCTAGCAGAAATGAATATGTTGATTAACTAAATAAAAGGTTGATTGCATAATTTTATAGTAAAAACAAAATGTTATTCTGTTTCTGACTTAGCAGAAAATGATACCAATAATTACTACCAAGAAGAATACTTAAATACTTTAATACCAAATGGCATTCTACCATACATGTTTGTTGTCAAGTTTATTATTTTTTACGTATGTTAGTGCCACTATTTATATAATGAACTAAGTTAAAATTGATATTCCATCGTATATAGTTTGATTTTGAAGAAAAATATGCTCGTGGCCGTCATGCTACTGAAAAATTTAGATATGCCGAACTTATGTAATAGCACACAGATGGTATATAGAAGTTTTTACAATAACGTCATACATGCAAAAATTATGATACTGGTCAATGTGCTTCTAAGTATATTCTTATCCTTAAATTCAACTTTCGTCTTCCGAAACTAAGGAATATCCTTTTAAATTTGTATGAAAATAATTTTTAGTATGTTATGTTTTGCAAATATAATAAATAAAGCATAAGGACAAACATCCTAAATATTGGACTATACTTACCGCAATATATTTTCTTGCACGAACAACTATATGTTGCACTTTTAAGAGAGATATCAAGATTGACAATAAGAGTTCTGGTTAAGCTAGAGCAACTCAACGGGATTCCCAGCATCTCGTAGAAAAAGAGAAAACCCTCTATCCCCAAGCCCCTTTACTCAGGAGGAAACATACACAAAAAAATATTGCACTCAAAGAAGTGTTCGTTAAGATACCATCACATTAAATACTTTTAAACTATAATACATAATTATCCAACTAATATGACAAAATTGATTATTTGCGTAAGTTTTGATGATGTTATTTTATTTTAAATTCATGTGTTATGCTAATGTAATAATATTTTTCGGCATTTAGATAATTGGTGTATTATTATACATAAAATTTCTTTCATTAATTAAATTTTATTGTTCCTTCATATAAATAAATGTTTAAATCATCATGTGCCATTATTAACGTGCAACGCACGTTCATAGATACTAGTCTATTAAAAAATGGGTTGGATAATGATTTTTTTTAAAATGGGTAAATATGGATAAGATCCATATTATCCACTTAAAAATGGATAGCGTATGGATTTAACTTTGTTCCTCAAGTTTGAGAGACTAAGCTCCCGTTTGGCCATAGATTTTGGCTTCAGCTTTTCAAAAAAAAAAAAAGATTGAAAACATTGTTTGTTTATTAAATATGATCATGTTTTAGGAGGAAAAAAATCGAAAATTTTCAAGTTCCCAAAAACTGGTTTAGGACAGTTTTTGGGTGAAAATATTCTCTCCACTCACAAAATTTTAACTTTTCTTCAAATATAATGCATGTCCAAACACAACTTTCAACTTTCAAAAGTTATTTTTCAACACAACTTCAAAAAAAAAAAATTCAAGTTTCAATCAAATCTATGTCCAAACGCTAGCTAGAAATTCTCCCAAAAGTGATCACATTCAAGAAGCCATGGATAATATGAATATCCATATTATTTATCGATTAATTCATTTTCTATCTTTATTAATTATGGATAGGATAGGATATTTTATTCGTCTTTACATTATCTGTTTCCACCCGCCTATATCCAACCAACCCGCCCGTTTGCCAACCCTAACCGGCAACAATAACCTTTACCGGCAAAAGTAGTTATAAACCGACACTTCAAATAAAATCTTGATTCTGGAGTAACTGGCATTTCTACTTTTAGCTGCTTCATCATCAAGACAGCAATCTAAACACCACATAAACAAAATATTGCAACATTACTTAATGACCAATATATCACCCAAAGTGAGAATTTACAACAACCTTCAAAGACCAATAGACTTGACCAAAATCTGCATAACCTATGCCTGCATTTGGATCCAGAGAAAAACAAGACTGAGAAGTTAAGATGTAATAAAGGCAGTGGAAGGAAACCAGTAATTCAGAATGTTAAAGTAACCAGAAACACCAAGAAGAAATTTTCAGACTTGACTCTTGAGTGCTTCAAAAATCTATCCTGTCAATTGCAAAAAGTTGAAATGACATTAAAAATCCTACTATGTTATGACTAATAAGGCCTAAATTTACACAGAAAGGGACTGGAATATTGGTTCCAGAAGAAAAACTACCAAAGATTAGGCAGTCATATCCATTTAGCTGCTTTCTTCATTCTTCATTGAACACTTCAGAACCAACTACACAGAATCAAGAGATATAAGTTAAATAGTAAGAGTAGTAAATAAAACAATTTAGGTCCATACAAGATTTTACATGATCTGTTTTACTAGTTTAGATGTTCATGGTCCAGGAGTTTTCGAAAAATTGCACCAACTAAATTAGTCTACAGGCTTCTACTAAGGGCTCGAATCCAAGAAACCCAACCTCTCTGCCAAGACATTTACATCTTCCTCTTCGCCATCTTCATTTCCAGACACGTCCTCATCGTTAAATAGCTCTTCCCAGAATCCCTCGTCGAGTTCTCTATCCGTGTTGCCAAATTGCCCGAGCCCTTCTCTCGTCTCTTCTTCGTGTTGGTCCCTTCTTGCTCTACCAAATCCCTGCATTTCTAATGCAAGTGCTTCAAGTTCGGATACTTGGAATCCACTACCCTCTCCGAATTCCAAAGGTTCTGATTTTATGGGACGGCTTGATCCTCCAACATCCAATGTACTAGGCCCTTGATCAATAGGTCGTCGTCTTTTTTTAGTTATAGCCTCTTCTAGTTCCTTTCTTTTCTCTTTTTGTCGGATCAACTGTTGGACAAACTCGGGATTTTGCATAGCTCTTGCTAAGAAATTCATCATTTGTTGTTGCTTCCTCTGTGTTCCTTGTAACCTAACCTCCAACGATCGAAGGTAAGATCGAGTGTTTTGTTGTTGCTGTCTAAGCTTCACTAATTCCATCATTAAAACTTGCTTGTCGTGCCTCAATCGATCAACTTCTCCATCAAATCCGAACCTTCCTGATTCAACACAAGGACCAAGAGCTTGTTCTGTAGGCAGAAGCTGAGAATTAGTTGTTTTTCGTCTCCTGATATTCCTTAGAAGCTGTTTGTTTCCCCTTAGAAATGCCTCGTTTGCAAATTCCCATCTATCTGGATCAATCTTTCTAAATCCCTGCAACAATCAAATTCCATCTACAGCTCAGTATCATCANAATTCCATCTACAGCTCAGTATTATCTTCCAATTTTGCAAGAGCTATCTTATCTTTTTTCTTTTTCTTCTGATAGCAAACCATTCTTGAATCTTGAGACTTGTGAATTTTTTTTTCTTCTTTTTGGTCCGCACAACTTGTGGACCGTATGATAAATATTTTACTACTAATAGGTTTTACCAAGCAGCTGAGAACTTGAAGGAAGCATCATTTGAACATCCAGATCAGAGAGGACCTTTTTTGAATATCTTAATTCGTCTGAAATTAAGAACACAATTCTAAAAGGTTAAGTTTCACATAGGCAAGTAAACAGTAAAAGTGGGAATTTTTTTTTGAGATTTTCCTTCCTACTAATAGCCTTGTAAACACTGAAGCAGGCCATAAGGTGGATTCACTTGTGTGTTCACAAAGATTTAGCAATCAGGAGCAACGTTTAATGCACCAAAAAACATAACAATAATACTAATTTGAAAAATAAATTTCCCACTTCAAGATGCATTATAAAGACCAGATTGAGAACTTACATAAGTATTTAGTTGTCTGACAAAGCTAGAGAAGTTGTTATGTTTGAAGAATCTGGGGAGTAGACTAGTGGAGAAGGCATGAGGATCCCAAACAACAAAGCTTTGACCACCTCTGTTCCAAGAAACAACATGATCTGTGCTTGAATCATCCACCATTTCATATGTCTTTGTGAGGAATGGTGGTGGACCAATGTCGTGTAGCCCCTCCATTGGCTGTGGTGATGTCATTACCGGCGGCGGTGGCTCACCGCCGCCACCACCGGAGCTTGATCCGGGGTACTCCTCTTTCACCGAGTACAATGGATTCATCATTGTAAGTACTCCCAACGGCGTAGTTGTTGTTGTTGTAAGTACATATTATCGTACTTGAAGTTAGGATGATTTGGACAACCCAAAATTTTAAGGGAGTGTTTGGCAGTGAAAAACAGTAGAAAGATTGTACCTTTGGGAAGAAAAAGAAGAAATGAAGGATGCAAACTGATCAAGTACTATGATTCTATATAAATCAGGAAAAGAAGTTTGGATTAGACTTTTGGAAATCTAAAGTTTCTTCTTTGGGGAAGGTAGTTTATGCTGTTTTTTTTTTACTGAATAAACAAGAGAAACAATGGATAAAAGAAGCTTTGGAAGTAAGTGTTAAAAGGGATATAAATATATAAATAGAAATCAGCAATTCACCTCCTATTTTAAGAAGGGGTAATAATAAAAAGTAAAATAGTTTTAATGGAAGTTTCTAGACTTCTAGGCATTTGGGGAGTGAGCATCTTCCTCCTTGTGCTTCTCTTCTATTCAATATTTTAATATGTAATTATCCAATTTCTTTTTATCAAAAAATATTATACATTATTTTAATATGTAGTCTCTCATTGGGAAATTGGGAGGAGGGGAAGGTTCTGTTCAGAATATGAGAGGAAAGTTCTGGAACTTAGGTATGGTGGAGGTGTGGTTTGGGTCCACAGGAGTTGCAAGTAGTGGTTTTGGTTTTTGATGCAGCGGTTTAGGAAATTGGATTGATGGGATTGTGAAACTCTCCTATTATTGGCTGACATCTTTAAAATATTTTGAAAACTATCTACCACCAAGACAAAAGAAATGTGTGTGTGTGGGGGGGGGGGGGGTGAGGGGAGGAATATCATGCAAAATGTTATAGGGATAATCTTTTCCGCTTGTCTATGGTGAGTAGACATGATATGCCCTTTCTAAAGCCATTCTTTATATTTTGTTTCTGTTTTAATTTATTTTTTAACAATAGTCTATCAAATATCAAAGTAGAGGAGTGTGGGTTCACATGCCCTTAGTTGCATATTAGTGTAGTATAATCGGATTCAATTGAACTCATAATTTTTGACGTCGAGTAAAAATTTATGTGTAAAAGTTTATTAAAATTACAAAAAATAGTAGTTATGAACCCATAACTTTAAAAATCTAATGGGTTCAATACTAAAAAATTTAAAAGTTGAACCCATAAAATTTAAATCATGGATTCGCATCTGTGATGCGTTCATGCCTTTTTTCATAGACCATATATAATAATGTTAAATCTCTCTAAAACTATTCAAATACTCTATATATATATATATATATATATATATATATATATTAAAAAATCTCATGGTATAATAGTTATTGAGTGTACTTCTACATGTAAGGTTGAGGATTCAATGTTCATGTCCATCTTTTGTCTCAAATAAGTACCTTTTTTTTTGTTTGATTTACTCCATCCCCAAGTAATCTCTAATCTCCTTTTGTAATTTTAAAATGTTATATAATCAAATCAAATATCTAGTAGCAGTGAAAGATGTATCATATAGTTAATAAGTATAACTAATTTTAACATTTTTCATACTAAATATTCATGTAAAAAAATATAAAAAATTTAACAACAAAAAAGATTCAATATATAATTTCAGAAGTGTAATTTGTTCAATGGTAAGAGCAGGTTGATCATTAAAATTTAAATCCTGAATAAGCTTAATTATTCGTAATAGTGTACATATCTATATCTATATATCTATCTATCTATATCTTTACTATATAAAAAGCGCGAAATCCCTTAGCGAAGTGTCGTTCGTCTTTTTTACCCTTTTAAAATATATTTCATATTGGACAGAATAGTCTTTTACATAATAATTTTCCTAATATTTAGAGATTAAAATCTACTAAAATTTAACTTCTTAAATATCATTCCTTATTTAAATTATGTAGACAATCGTAATATTTAGGACTATAAGACTAATAAAAATTTTATCAAATAAATTATTTAAAAAATCAGTTGTTTGAAACGTTATTCGATCAACAAGTAGGACAATCTTGAAATTTAGGCATGTCGATCACCCATAGTGAAGTATACATGAGTTTTTTCTTTAAATTAGCCACCAAAATATTTGATCACAAATTAGGACAATGTTAAATTTAGGCATCGATCACCCATGATAAAGCATACATGAGTTTTTTCTTTAAATTAGCCACCAAAATATTTGATCACAAATTAGGACAATGTTAAATTTAGGCATCGATCACCCATGATAAAGCATACATGAGTTTTTTTCTTTAAAAGAGCCACCTTTCATCATTTGCAGTTAGCTCTTTTTTTCTTTAAATTTTATTTTATACCTCCACGCATGTTTTTAATAATACTTATGAAATTTTATTTTCTTTAAATTATTTTTTTTGACGCAACACACACGTACAACATGTACCACTTAAACTAGTCTTCTTAAAATCTTAGATTTGCTAGCACATCTATCTTTACGCTCTCCTTTATCTCCTTCTTCTTCCTCCATATCCTCCTTTGTCTCCTTCTGCTTCTTCTTTATCCTTCTCCTTCCTATTGATTTTCTTTTAGCATCCAAATCCAGCGATCATTCACTGAGAATGTCATGAAAGTTACTATAAAAGAACAAATGCGATACAAATACAAGCTGTAGCTTGGAAGTGTTGGTGGGAGACTATGAAAATTTATGAATTATCTCCTTTAATTTTCTTATATCGTGGAAAGATAGGTAGCAATTTGATTAAATGTTAACTTCGTTTGGGTAGTCCCAAATTTGTATATGAAAATATTGAAGTTAGACATCAATTATAACTCAATAGATTTCGTCGCTTATTTTCTATCCATTGAAAACACAATCCATAACTAACTTGTGACTGTGACACAAATAATTTTTAATAAATTACAATGACCAAAATTTTAGGTATTAATTACAACTCTATTTAAGTTGTCGCTCCTATTTTCTCTCTCTCTCAAACGTTGTATCTTATATGCTTGTGCTATTTTTTAAAGAAATATCTAAAATTCTAATAAATTATCTGTAATTATTATTGTATCTAACATAGAACATATTTTTGAAGGATATAAAATAGCTGTCTATTTAATTTGAAATATTTTTTTGCCAATGATTTCTTTAAAAAAGTACTTTCCGAGAGTAGTAGTTTGTGCTTGACCAATAAATTTAAAATATAATTTTACCAATATTAGATCAGAAATTTGTGCTTGGGCGAGATTCTAATTAATTTTTCAGCATCTGCTACTACCCAAAAAAATTGTATATTTTTCCCTTAAAAACTTGAAATTGTTATACTTGGAATATCTTATTGTTGAAATTGGTATTGAGTTATGAATGCCGTGATTCACATTGAGGTAAAAAAGTTATGAAATAGCATTCTTGTTGAGCTATTCACTTTCGTTTATCATTGTTGAGACTCTTGTGCATATTGTGGTTGAGCCATGAGTTATTTATTGTGAAAACACCATTATTGTTGATTTCTTTGGCAAGTTGTGATATTGGGCACTTGAGGTCCGATTTGTGATACGTTGTGATATTGATACGCATGCGCTGGTATAAGAATTTGGAGTTGAAACGCATGCGGTGAGATAAGGTGGGCTTGATACGCGTATTGCTAGTAGGGGAACTACTTGAAGTCATGCGGTGTGATAAGGTGGGCTAAAACACAGGAAGCTATTTCGGGGAAAATAATTTTCAAAACTAAATGTAAAGCTCCCGCGGTGATATAAAGAAAGATTGTGAATTGTTTTGTGATTTGAGACTACGAGGCGATACCTCGGTAGCGATTCTTGTTGATACTTTTCTATTACTTCACTTGTGTTTTGGTTGTTTTGTTTCCTTGGCATATCATTTCTTGTTTCGCATTATTGTCTTAGTTTAGTGTAGCTAATCTTGGTATATTTCTTTATTGTATCATTTCCATTGTTATCATTATTACACTATTATATACCTGTTCAATTTCTTATTTATTCCAGTAGGGCCTTGACCTGACCTCTTCACTACTCTACTGAGGTTAGGTTTGGCACTTACTGGGTACCGTTGTGGTGTACTCATGCTACGTTTTTGCATATCTTTTTGTGCAGACCCATGTACCTCCTACCAGTCCAGGCACCAGTGAGACGAGCTCAGCTTCGGAGACTTCAATGTATACCTACCGGCGTTCGTAGGTCTCGGAGTCACCCTCTATCTAGTCTACTTCATTTACTTTCCTTTTTATAGACATTGTTGTATAGGGATGATCAGTTCTTATTCATATAGCTTGTGACTTGTTATCATCAGATTTTGGAAAGTTTGTTATGCTGAGTTGCGAAGTTTCTTTTATGATAGTTGTTGAGTATTTGAGAGTTTTATCATTATTTCAGTCATATTCTGCATGTATGTTAGGCTTACCTAGTCTTTGAGAGTAGGTGTCATCACGATATCGTACAGAGGGAAATTGTGATCGTGACAGTAGGTGATGAAAAGCATTATCCACGTAAATAGTTTTTTGTGATCTTATGATTTGCCACTCTCATTTTCTTAAAATTTGTTACCTTTCTAATCCGAAAAATAAGAACTCTATTTTCTTCTAAAAATAAGTTCCGTCGGAATTAAAGATTACAATTACATAGTCAATCTAATTCTTCGAAAGGTAAAAATTCCTAATCTTATTTCAAAATGTTGTTTATCTATTCTTGCAATAAAAAAGAATGATAAAGTGTTTATAATAGATTTCTTATATATATCTTTTGTAGACGAAGAAACTTTAAGTTATAAAGTAGATAATATAACCGGTTAAATAAATATCTTTAACAAAACAAGGTTGAGATGATTATAAATAGCTAATAAGTTTTTAGTGCGAAAAAATATTTTTAAGTGTAAAAACTGATTTTATGAATAAATGGTTAGGTATTCGGACAGAAGTGTACAATAACAGTTGATGTATTTGTAAAAAATATATCGATTTTAGTCAAACTAAAAGTTCTTATAAGCTATAAGTTGGGTGTGATCGACTTTGACTTTTAAGTGTTTACCAATTATAAGCTATCGATTTTTCAAAATTATATGTGCTTATAAACACTTAATATATAAATATTTTAAGTGTTTACCAAATAAATGCATAGATAAATTAAAAAGTATTTATAACTCAGTTTGAGATGCTTGTAAAGGACCCGTTTGGTCATAGATTTTGTCAAAATAAACTTGGATTTTATTTGGCAAACACATGTTTGGCCATAGATTTTGCCTACATTTTGACCAAATCTCAAATCCCAAATCCCAAAACCAGCTCAATAGCTGGTTTTGGGTCAAAATATCACTATTATATTTTTTTAAAAACTGCCTCAAACTTTTGTATTTTATAAAATAGCCCACCATTTATTATTTTGTA